AAACTGGGTGAAGGAGTTGAGTGAGGATGGAAAGGAAGGTGGCGCTGGATACGTCTTATAAAGGCGATGAGTTCTGTATCTTGTTTGTCGATGTAGCTCAAATAATGAAGGAGCTACACTCTCTCAAAGATCAGGAAAGATCACTTTCGACGATTTTAGTAGGAGGGGTGATGTACTAGGCGGGAGTGGTAGTACGGAAGATCTGTATGTATGTAGATCCTTGCAGATCCTGGCAAATCCGGGGTGTATTGAGTTGTAACTGTGTAATACGGCCTGCAGAACCTTATGTACACGTGAGATAACTCTATTTTTAGACTTCGACCAGGTGTATTAGGCTTCGACCAGGTACTAATCCCTCGAGATGATGGGTAAATGAGACTAGATCCGCTCACGCCGTAGGAATGGTAGACTTTCAAGGCTCAGGAAAAAAACCTAGTAGTGTAAACAGGGTACGGCGGATCGAATGGTCTACTCAGAATGTCTGTATCTGTTACGGTTCTCTCTCCGTGATAGTGTAAAGTGACTTAGACTGAAAAAATAAGACTTTTTGAAGGGACACGGACGTATTTTTTAAGGGTTTTCAATTTTTTCTGTGTGGATGAATCAAATGGAAATATAATGAAATATTTTTGTGATTTTTTGTGGCACGAGATGAGTGAAACAGATAGCGCAAGAATTTTATTTTTGTGTTTTTTGGTGTTTTTATTTTCTGATACTAAGGAAATGAGATGAGATGAGATAAAAACAAGCTTAATTTATTCTAAATCCGTGAGATCTATGATTATAGAGTTGGGTTGAGGCGGAGAACAAGCAGTGAAAGGTGGAAGAGTGTAGTAGCGGACAGTTCTAGACAAGATGTTAGTAGGAAGAGTTCTATATTTAGGGGTTTCTTCTAACGCTGTAAGGAAGTTATTCCTGTTTGTTTCTACTGTTTTTTCTATGATAGACTCGTCTTCTTCTACAAGATTTATGAGGATGTATTCAGGGGAATAGGTAGAATGAAGGGTACAATGGTAGCGCTTAGTTTCTATGTAGTTCCAGAATCTATCTTCTGCCTCTGTAACTTTCACTTTTTCTACTCTTTCAATAACTGTAATGTTATCCGGGTGGTTGTGGTAATATCTACTAGCTTCTTCTGCAATTGTACTATCTATTTGTCTAATAAATGGCAAAACTTCCGGCATTTGTTCTTCAGAAGGCCATTGTTAGTAGTAAATGTTTTGGGGACAAAAGGTAAAAAGAAGCACGGAGATATGTTAGTCACGGAATTCCAATTAGGCCAGACCCCCAATTGTCAGCCTCTGGGTAACTAACCTGAGTATTTAATAGTAAAAAGGTTGTTACTATGAGTTGACTGAAGTTTTTGAGCGTGGTGAGTGTTAGGTAGTGGGTGATTAATACCAGTCCTGTAAAGAGGAGGTTTCACTCTATCAGTATGGTCTTTACTGAGAGGCTTGCTATCAACAGCGCATCCGGATCAATACAAGGTATTAATAGGCATCCAGGGTACTAAGACTCACCTGGGATTGATTGGTTATTCCCCAAAGGGAATGGGCTAACAATACTTATTAAGCTTTAACAAAATTAGTTGAAGATTAACAGGTATTGTTGATGGGAATATTCAGCAAGGCTATGAATACTGTGGATAAGTTGAGTAAGAGTACTGAAGCTTAAGAACAATAAATGTAGACAAGATTTATGTTGGTTACGGGTACTGTATCAATATAAATGTTAACTGGTTTAACTGGTGTCTGAATATTCTCGGGATTAATCAGTGGAAGTGGCACTGATTATAAGTTCCAGAATACTGAAGGGGGGAAAGAATGAGCGCTCAGAATCAAGGGAGCTTTGGCCAGGAGAATGAGCACATCAATTGAGTGACTGATCATTATTTGTCATGATCTGTAAGTGACATCATAATTGTGTACTAGTTGATCAATGTACTAGTTGCTCTTGATGTGTACTTAACAGATCCTCTAATAATGTAGTCATAATTGTGATCTGTGCATGTATTGAATGTATTAATTCTATTGACACTTAATACTTACTATTTAATACATGTACATATTTATTTGTAATAATATTTGACCGTGAAAATACTGTAGCAGAGGGATAACTTGTGGTACAGGTATTTCACGGACAAGGGAGTGAAAGGTAAGTGATAATTACTTATGTAGAACACAGGTATGTATTTAAATAGATAAGTAATTAACAGATAAGATAAATGTAAGATAAATAGGATAAGATAAGTTAATGATAATAATAAGATAACAAGAGGTAAAGGTAATCAACATTATGGATAAGTACTTATGTACATAAGTACAGGTGTTGCAGTTACTTGGTACATGAAAGGTACTGTGACATGTACTCTGTGGCTGACATCGCGCGTGAAAGGCTAGTCGATAGGAGGGGGGAACTCCGGATTTCACCAGGATTGACCTGTGAAACCGTTGGGTTGGGGAGGTACTTGGGTTGGTATAGCGATTGCACATCTAGCAACGCTATACCTCCCGAGGGGGGGAAAACTAAATTCTCCTCCCCTTTAGCACCCCCGGTGGCAGGGGAATTTTGGGCTTGGGGAGGTAAATTTGGTTTACAACCGCAGTTTACCTCCCCGGGTGGAGATGGTCTTACAGCTTGCATATAAAAGGGATGCATTGTAGATAGTCTAGCCAAAATCCCTCAGTATTTTCAGGTACAGGGCAGCTAAAATGCCTCATACAGGGGGTCTCTTGGGGCTAAAATACCTCATAATTTACTATATAAGGAGGCCTCTGCCTGCCAGTTGTTTCCTCCTCATCCCACTCAGTACACATTTTTGGTGGGACACCTGTCACAGATATTTATTACACAAGAGGTTCACAATTAGTACAGTTCACACTTGAAATATATACACAGTTTCACAAACATTACACAGAAGAACCAGTCCTTTGTTCCAGTCCTGGTTGAAGCAAAGTGCTCCCAGCATTATTGGGTTCAAGAACCAACTCTATTACATTACACATATACAGTATCAAGGCATCAAGACGAGAAACAACATCAATAACTCAATCAATTCTTTGGACAACAAGATCAACCTTCAACAATTATACAACCATCTTTGAACATAATCCATTATCACCAACCAAACTGCCAAGCTTACCTTGGTGGTCTTGTTTTCTGATAATATAGGAAGGCAGAGTTTGCAGCTCATTCATCCCTTTCTCCATTCATCAAAAAGGGATCTTACAATCAATTTTTGAGTCTTACAGAGGAAACACACATCCGCATCCGCATCTGCCGGCGGATACCCGCGGATACCCGCCCTCTGAATGGGCGGCAAGGCAGCCGGC